TCCCATTCCGCTTTCTGACGGCGGGCGTTCTCGAGCAACGTCTTGTATCGCTATAACCCAGCTTCTGCATGGCCGGCAGGCCTAAGGTCAGTTCCACGCCTGCCACAGCTTCGTCGACCCATACCCGCAGCCCGCGCAACATCAAGGGTCCACATCCGGTCTTGAACCGCAAACTTCCGAAACGGACTTGCTTGGTCGCGACGACTGGTCAACTGTCCGCTCCGTAGGACTTTCGGTCACTCCGTGGGCTGCGACCGCACGTGGAGCCGATGACCAACATCCGTGTCCGGATGTACATGATGGTTGCGCAACCAAGCTATTCAGTGGCTGAGGTAGACTGTAGAAGATGATTGGTAGTGAGGAAGAACTTAGACATGATTGATAATGAAGTTGACTTTTGGATTTGTCATCGAGGTCACCGTTGAGAACACAGTAGCCGTCGGTTGTAACACCGGCGCAAGAAAACATGCGTACAGTATGTGGTGCACGTCAAGTACTAGTATAAAGGTGGCTGTATTCGCGCTGATCGTACCAAGCATCGTTGACGGTTCGTCTACCGTGGACAAGAGGAGACGACGGGGTTGAGTATGAAGGGGGGTCTTACCTGGGAGTTATAGGATGCCTTTGAAGTGCACGAACGTGCGGACGACACGCTGTGTGACGATGTCGTCCATGGGCTGCCACTCTAGAAGGAGCTCCGGAAAGGCCTCGACGCTGAGGGTGTCTAGACGCAGTACGAGACTAAGGCAATAATCAGCCACACGGGTTGAGAAGCAGCACAATATATGCAGAGAGATTATGAATGATTACCATTGACTATGATCATCCAGACCATGTCGTCGCGTCGCCGTAGGACACCGACAAGTCCAAGACCATCCGTGCACAAATGAGCGCGATGCACGATTGGCTGAAGGTCTTGCGCAGGTTCGCGCCTACATGTGGACATATGACAAGAATCGGTGGCATCGATGTTCGCGTTGAAGGTTTGGGTAGTCTATTTATGTCTAACCAAAACCATAACCTTCATTGATTGGATAAAATGAACAATGTAGTGGAACTTGCATTACGATTTCCAACCACAATACTTTGAAACCCCCTATTAACTTTGAAAGTGGAGAATGGAGAATGAAGAATGGGAAGAAGGCAACGCTCAAAAATAAGTCAATCAGAATAGTCCATCGGAACTTTTGAGAACCCCTGTTTTTCGCAAGCAAAAATGGTGATGGGCCGTGCACTCTTAAATTTGATGTGGCCAGTGGACCACAAAAGCCGCACTGAGACTGATGACCCTTGCGTCGACAACGATGCCTGTTAACGCTAACATGCCCAGCGGACAACGATGGTACGGCCGGTGCCTTGTGGCTAACGTGCGCAACCTGAACGTCCGACTTGCGCCAGCGATGTCTGCTATCGCGGCAATCCCTACACATCATCCTAGACACGCGACCAACAATCAGTGCATATAGCAATCAGTTCACGTACGCAAGCGGGAACGAACAGAGTCCAGGCGCTAGTCGTGGCTTTACGACGACTTGCGCATGGACTCGGTGGATTGCATGATGCTCTGGTGCAGTTTCTAGACCGCAGATAGTCTGTAGGCTGCAACGCTGTGAGCTGTCCGCTTATTTTCTCACGATGAAGCAAATATATTTGTGTTTTTTTCACTCCCATTTTTTATACCAGAACTGCAGTGTCCATCACCATTCTCCATGGCCAGGTTTTAGTTTGGATGATAGATGTCAAGGGTGGACGAGGGAAACATTTTAGCCAATGAAATACAGTGGTCGGCGGTAGAACCCGGCCAGTTCAACTTTCCAAGTGCTTTGAAGATTGTATGTGTAGTGGGATTTCCACCGAGGAAATTTAAATAAAATCATCATTGCAAGGCCTTGATGGCGATTTGAGTATCATGTTTAATTGGCTAAAATTATTCAGCATTCCACCAATCGAACACATTGTAACGTTACATACGACATGTCGCAAATATGGACAAATCGAAGCCAACACAAATTCTGACATCGTCAATCGATTCAGGAGGCGGGTTTACCTCAAGAACCCTCCTACCGACTTCAACAAGCACACACAACACCTGACCATCATACTACCATATATTATATCTCAATAACTGATGGTATCGCTTTATCAAACGCCTTGACTATAGTACCTGTCGTAATGTCAAAGAACACACCGGTCTCGTCCACGTTCAGGATTTGGCTGCGAGGGTAATGGCCGTACGTCGACCAAAAGTGAACGGCGTTGCCCAACCACACGTCGTCTAGCACCTTTTGGGTCACCTTGCTGACACTCGGGACACGGTGGCGGAAGCGGTGTCGAGCGGCGAAGCGCAGCATGAGGCTGCGGAACGATTGGTACGCCACTGCTTCGTTCAGCTTGGACCCCAGGTACTGCACAAGCCACGCCTTTTGGTTGCTGTTCACCCAACGCATGAGGTGGAACACCCTGAGATGTTCTTCGGCGCCACGCTTGGCGCACATGTACGCTAACAGCTCCTCTTTGAACGGAAGGATCTCACGGTGGCCTTGGCCCCCCATTGTCGCATGGCGGCTGTGGCGTTTGCTCGCCATGATGCGCGGCTCTCTTGAACGCCAGTCCTGCCATGTCGCTCGTGGGATCTTCTTCTCACGGCAGAACTGGCGTTCGTTTGTGGCGCTGGACGCGCGAAACTCAGACAGGAGCTGCTTGCGCTGGCCGTTCGAGTACCGCTTCTGTTTGCGCTTGGTTGCTCTCATCGCAAGGTGCGTGTGTAGATTTGAATTGCATCAAAGTCTGGATTTGAATCTAGCCAATTAGAGGCAATCGACTTCGTGATTGGTCTTTGATTATTCACGTGATTTTATCCTATCAAATCATAGGATCATACCTCCCCACTTTTCATTATTTAATAAAAAATTGGAGAGTGGCCCTGGCTGGGTTCTACCGCCGACCACTGTACCTGAAAAAAGTGTGTAATTCCATTGTTCATTCTCCATTTTTAATGTAAATACAGTAAGTACCACCACCAATTTTGTCCTTGTTAAGTACGCCAAGTACTAACAGTACTTACTCACATATTGTTGAAGTTTTCACTTGTTGAAGTTTTGCTCAGATACTCACACGTTGGCGATTACCCCTTCAAATACCTCCTATTAATAGTGATCTCAGGCTGAACTACCCTAGACACAGGATAAATAAATAATTCAGCCAATTGGTAGTCATCCATTTGAGGCTTTCCAAAACCTACACAACTACATTTGTGAACTTTCGCATCTGTGACATTTTCCGTTTAATAATACTCCTTCGCAGGATGTTGAGACCAGAAAATGGTATCAACAAGCCAGTGATTTACGAAGTTGCAGTCGCAAACACATACCACTCTGGTCCATACAAAATCGTAACGACTTGTCTTCAGAATAGTGACATGTATATGATGACCATTTTCTCCTCTTAGATTGGCTACTTGATTCACATCAAATTTCGAGATAGTTTCTGAGTTATGACCTACAATTTGATTCGCGTCATTTCTGAAAGCACAAATCGACCGCGCCTTCAATTTCGTGTGTATACATGTGCACTCAGAGTCTAATGTACATGGCTATCGATTTAACAGTCCCCTGCAAGCCTACAGACGTTGTCGACTTGCCTATAGACTTTAGCTCGTGACGAAAAAAAAATTGAAGAACATAGCACACTCTCTGGTGCCAACAGTAGATCGTAAAATTTGACCCTCTCTTTGTAACTTTTTCCAATTCTATATGTTAGCCATAGGCAGACAAGGATTGAAGTTACATAGTTAAAGTTATATATATATGTGCTTGAAGCTGGAAGAGCTCCAGGCTTCACACCCCTCGACTACTTCAGTGTGTCGAGGGCCAATAGGTACCTTGTTTTGATCTACACACTACTTGAAGGTTTGATGGTTGCTTATATTGAGAGATATGACAAACTTCAATCAGTGCAGCTAAGGTTGCACTACTTACATGTATGCATGTCTTTGGCGATGATAATTATGGAGGTTCTAGAGCTAAGCTCACTTCTGAATCCACCTTCCTTTGAGCCACTACCCCTGCATCTGTGTGTGTTGTGTGCCAACGTCTGTTATTTCAAGTACCACGCCCCCCCCCAAGTTCCCCCCCACATCGTTCTACTACTCTGTGACCATGTCAGACGCCACGACCAAAGATAAATCGGTCACGGACCTCAAGTTCAACGGCCGGAAGGTCATGTTCACCGCCTGGAAGGCCCGCATCATCGCGCACCTCAACTCCAAGTCGACGGAAGACGACTGCAAGCGTGTTATGGACGACAAGAAGTCGCTCAACTTGGAGCACTCTGATTGGTTGCAATTTAAGCCAATCATCAATGACGTCGATGTCGCCGCCGACATGCCGCCTTCCGCGACGGCAGCGAGTCTGGAGGCCGAGAAGATGAAGCGCTTCTACTACCTGCGCATGCAGGAGAGCCTGATCAGGAGCATATTTGGTAAAGTGTTACCAAATGACTTTCTGATTCAGCTCCCCGGCACGATCAATAACCCTGACCGCAACCTCTCTGACATCTGGGCGCGCTCGAACGCGAGTATGCGCAGTCGTCGCTCGATGTGAGCACGACCTTGTACCTAGAGTTTATAACTCTACCTACGAAACCATTTAAGTGCGTCTCTGATTTGATCAAGAGAATGCGCTCTTTGCAGAATCAGCTTAATGAGCTGTATTCGAAAAACATTGGAGTCCCCTTGATATCCGAATATCAAATCTCCCAGGCAGTTGTGGCGGCACTTCCCACACGAGTACTTTGGCTCTAATATGAACCAAACTACTGACGGTTTTAAACTGTCTACGATCGAGACACTAGTGAAGCAGGTGTTTAGCGACAAGTCTAGTGAGGCTATTGCAAACATGTCTAGCAAGCGCCCAAAACGTGAAGTGCACGTCAACCAAGCTAAGGTTCACCGTAACAAAGCTAATAAGAGAAAGTCAACAGCCTACACGGAGTGTTTTTACTGTCACGGCACCGCTAATGTGGACGGCAAAGGCCATCTAAAGGCCGACTGCGCCTTGCTTAAAATAAGAGCGACCTCAGTAAAGGGATCGCGCGCAAGAACTTTAAGGAGGTTCCTGCAAAGCGGATCAAGGTGTCAACCAACACCGCTGTTGCAGCGTCCAAAGGTGGTACATTATTGGTCAAAATTTGGGCCAATCAAAGGCGAGTAAATCCTGTTACCCGGATAGCCAATCAAAGGTTGGAAAAATTGGGGTCTGACCAATCATCCACCGCCAAGTCCGATTATCCGGACAGCTAATCAGAGAGTGACACGGAATTTTCCGGGAACATTGCAGCCCGCCTGAGTTCGATGGCGATCCCCGACATGGACGAACTCCCGGACAGCGGACCGGACAAGTGGTCCTGCTTGACCAGCATCGCGCATAGTCTCGCGGACCAGACAACACGTATGGAAGAGGAGGTAAGCCGCCTGGCACCGTATCTACTGAAGAGGTCTAACACGATTGACACTAGTGACTGGGTGTTGGACTCCGGCTGTGGTATGCACATGACGCCGCTCTCAGGGTACTTCTGTAGTTATATAACTAATGATGACTACGACTTTGAGTTCGGACAAGGGTCATGTCTGGGTAGTACTTGTTGACTTCCTCCAGGTTATGGGTGTGACGAACTCAAAGGTTTGGAGCGCTTTCTCTCTTGGCTCTTACTTTGGAAGTGATTAACCTACGTGTCCATGCGATCTTCCTGCGATCTTTCCGGTAGTGCTAACCGGTTTTTTGTCTTCCGAATGTATGTAACATGTAACCGCCTCATGGGCAGAAACCACAACAGCCTCCCATGCCCATGAATGCCATCGCGGTCTTCAACTTATCCTTGGACACGTGCTTGGTAAAGACGTCTGCCGGCGTGACATTGGTGGGCAGGTGCGCCAGTGTAAACTTGCCGCTCTTGACAAGTCCCGCAGAAAGTAGAAGCGTAGTGCTAGGTGCTTGGTCCTCTGGATGCTGGCTTGGTTCGAGCCGATCGCGATCGCGCTCTGGTTGTCGAGATACAGCACAACCGGTTTGTCCTCCTTTTGACCGAACTCTCCCAATAGGCTGCGCAGGTGCATACCGTGTTGCGCGCCCAGGCAAGCGCCGACATATTCGGCCTCGGCCGTCGACAGCGTCACGATGGCCTGCAGTTTTAACCGCCACGAGATCGCGCCGCCAGCCATCATCCATAAGTAACCACACGTGTATCTTCCTGTGGCGCGGTCGTCCACCCAGCTCGAGTCGGAGAAGTCGACGAGTTTGTCGCTTCCTCTGCGACCGCCGGTGAATGTGAGCCCTACCGTCTTTGTGTGCAAGAGGTAGGCAACAACGCGGCGCTCCATGTGCATGTGGAGCTGATGCGGCTGAGTTAGGTGGCGGGACAGTTGAGTGACTGCATGGACGATGAAGGGTCGTGTGGCCATGGCGCAGTACAGCAGCGATCCCACAATCTGGCGGTATGGCTTGTCGTCATTGAGGACCGTGCCGACGTCCTCGCTCAGGTTCGTCCCTGGCGGGATCGGCGTGTCGACTGCCTTGGCACTCGCAAGGCCGTATTTGGCTGCCATCCGCTCGATGTACGTCACTTGGAGCACATCCATCGTCATCTCATCCTCATTGCGATAAATCTCCATTCCCAGCAACTTGGCTACGGAGCCCATGTCATTCAGGCGGATGTGGGCCTGCATGTGGTTAAAGATCGCGTCGACCTCCTCGTCTGTCTCCGCGCATACGAGGATGTCGTCAACCTAGATCGTGATGACCTGAAGAGCACCGTTTGTCCGGCGCGTGAGGACACAGCCGTCGCCCCGCATGGCGGGCGGAGCCGTCGTCTTCCAAGATGCCCTTGAAGTGTACGTACCACATCAAGGCACTTTGCTTCATGCCGTATAGGGCCTTCTCGATCACCCAGACTCGACCGCTGTCATCGCCAAATCCGTCTGGCATGTCCATGTGGAGCATGCGATCCGAATCCGCGTGGATGTACGCGTTGGTCGTGTCGCCTTGACGACACTTCATTCCACGCTCGGTCACGATCGCGAGAGTCAGCCGCAACGAGTCACCGCGGACGACCGGTGCGTACGTCTCGTCATAGTCGATCCCTCGTCGTTGCGCGCAGCCCTTGATTACGACTCGCGCCTTGTAGACCATAGAGCCATCAGGCAT